TTTACCTCCTGTGTCTCTCCGTCAGTGGGACATCAGGACCGGTGAGGTCGTTCAGGAGTACGACCGCCACCTGGGAGCCGTCAACACCATCACCTTTGTGGATGAGAACCGGCGCTTCGTGAGCACGTCGGACGACAAGAGCCTTCGAGTTTGGGAGTGGTAAGCACAGACCAAAGCTCAAAACGGCCCTGCGGTGTTTTGAATTGATTACACATAATCTAGTAGACGCACTGCTCCTTTAAAAAGTGGTTCTTAAGGACAGGAGATCTCCAAAGCTCCAGACAAGCCTATCGTGGATGAAGCTCGCCCAGCCGCTAATCCGACTCCTCCGCCTCGGTGGGGCTGCTTTGCATGCATCTGTTGCACTGGCAGTTTCTTTTCCCCCCCGGAGCCAACGTACATCGACCGAGCTCCAGCAGGATCCTTCTTTGAGCCGGGCCCAGGTTGCCAATTGTACATCTTAATAAATAAGCATTTAGAAATGCCTCCACAAATGAAATCATTGGAAAGGAGAGAGGCGCTTGGATAACCGGCGGGTTAGATAAAGTAAACCTTTTTTTAAAGTCTCCTTTCCTTGCAAAACCACTTCTTCTTTTTTTAACAAAATCGTGTTCACTGCCTTGCAGGAGCTTATTTGCGTTTGGATATTGTGACACGTGCTGCTGCGTGTTTTTTGCCCTAAGGAAAACCCACCAATTGGGCTCCTCCATCAGGCCGCTGGGCTCTGAGGAGTGAAACCATGCGAATAACCGCTTCTGAGCGCCGAGTTGTGCCGGCTTCAGTTTCGCTCCTTCTGACCGATATTTCCAGATTTAGCCGCTTGTAGTTGCTCTGGTGACTTGCGGATTAACAGGTGGTGGTATTTTTTTGTTTTGCTCAGAGACGAGTAATATTTGAAGACCGTCTGAAAGATGGAGCTTCCCTTTGACCTATTTAGCCTGTAATTCAAGTTGCAGTTTCATTTTATTTGTCCTTTTGTGGAATGTGGAAGCAAACGGTGCAGGACAGAGAGCGGCTTTACTGCCCCTCGTTCTCCCGCGGATTAGCCTCTGGCTAACCCCTCTGGTGAGACCTGCAGTGAATATAACAGAACGGTCCCGTGACAATGTGAGGACCAACCCTCCACGTCACGCTGCAAAAGCCTTCTCGTTATTTAAATTCCATCATAACTAACCTTTTCTGGAGAGACTGCTTCGTCTGCAGCAGACGTTCGTCATCGAGAGGGGGGTGGGGGGTGTTTGGTGCACTGTGCCAGCATGCCAGCAGGGAGAATCAGCACTTCACAAAGCTGTTGTTCAGAAAGCTCGAAGGGACATTCGGGATGATTATGGGCCGAAAAATACATTTTAACAAAAGATTTTCTTTGAGATGTAAGAGAAAGCGTGAAGGACATTTTTGCTACGTCTTCTATGTCATCCAAGTGCTCGATCTCCCTCGGGCCCCGACTTCCATCGTGCTCCTGACCTTTTTAAACGCACGCCCTGCCGACCTAAATATAACTTTGTAAATGTTTGGCCAGTCGTGATGACTGTGTTGGCCGACCATTTCGTCTTATGTCTTGATTTTGTTGTTTGCCGGCTGATTACAGAATTTAACCTCAACCTCCCTGCAGATGACAAGCCTGCGAATCTAAAGCTCACATATGAAATATACAAACGTGCCGCTTGTTCTTGCGATCGATGCAAAACGCCACAAGCAACAAGAAGCCATACATTTTTTCACAAATCTCCCCATAGATTGTTTGTCATCTGTTTCCCTTCCTCCCGCCGCGCTGCAGACAACAGAACATTCACGCCGGTTATTTCTGGAGCTCAGAAGAAGAGATCTGATGGCTTTGTTTCTTCCCGGGTTTAGCGCGGCACATCAGCAGGCATTTGCTCCGACAAACCCGCGTGTGTGTGTTTGTGTGCATACGTTTTGGTTGTGTAGAAGGGTTTGCATTTCTCATTAAACAGTCTTCAGTTCCTCAAAGACCATCTTTGGTCTGTGCAAACATGTTGCCATCCCTCTGCTCCAGCTGGGTCTCATCTCAGGCATGCTTTAGTTTAAGCAGAAGGCCCAACGGGAACGGCCCACTTACTTGATGCAGACACACACACATCGTGTGAAGGCAGAAAGACGCATTGGTCACACTTTTGAGTTGTTGTTGAGCTTTGAGGGGTGGCCGCAGGTTGCTCGCCCCTCCAGCGTTTAACTCCTCTCCAAGTGTTCTCACTGTGCTCTTTTTCTGTTTGTTTGTTTTTCAGGGACATCCCTGTGGACTTCAAGTACATCGCTGAGCCCAGCATGCACTCAATGCCAGCTGTGACACTCTCTCCCAACGGTGAGTAGCCAGAGGCGCCTGAGGGGAGCATATATCCATATCGCCGGACGGAGGTGGATTCGGTTTCATATCTTTAATTGTTGGTCAATGCGCTTAGACATCTCAGTCAATTTGTGCGGAGAGATGTCTAGATGGAGTCCTCGGGATCCGGTTCGATCTATTGTGATTGATGGGTAGATAGTCCCACAGTGTTGTGCGGGAGTGAACTGTAGAGCAGTTTCAATTAAAGACACGTCACAGAGGGATGAGAGAAGCTGAGCTCGAGCTGAAAGATGCTCTCCTCCATCTGCAAATGTAAAAACATTTAAAAAATAATAATAAATATGAGCAATACTGGTGATGATCGGCTTAGCTTAGTCTTTTTCCTCACTGTCTTTGCCAAGAAGTTACTGTGCCGGGCCAAGACAAAGTTGCCTCACGGCTTGGTGTTTTCACAATACAGGCTACCGGTTTCCTAGAAACAAACTATTCCATTTCAAATGCTTTTTTCTTACTTAGTATGTACTCTGATTCTTCTGATTCATGCTGATTCTTAACATGAATGTCCACAGCTCAGGGTTGGGGTTAAGACGTGTGATTGGGACATTGTGTTTCTGTATCATGTGGAAGCGGAATAAACAGCCGAATGAATGATTTTTCTTAGACGTGACACACAAGTCCCATCAATCCTTTTCCAATGCGAGGCTCCATTTGAACAGGGAATCCCCTGTTGCACCCAATCAGCCCCAGCTCCCCTCAAACTCGGCTCTCCTGTCGTCGCCCGTTCCCTCCCCTCCGCCCACTTTGATTTCTCCCTTTCCTCTTCCCCCTCCCACTGTCCCTAGTCCCTTCCTGGCTTTTGGGCATCGTTCTTGTTTGTGCCAAGGTGGTTTGTTCCTCCCTGCGTCCTCGGCAGGAGACCGTTCCGTTTTCTTTTGCGCCTCAATCCTCAAGTTTGCACCTTTTCTTGTTTGTCTGTGCTCATGAGGCATATTTCCACCTCGTATGTGTATTTGACTCTACCTGCCATAGCATCTGATAAGCTGGCATTTTTAGCTCGTACGCGCAGCATCGTGGATCCACATTTGTAAAGAAATCATGCTAATGGTACAAATGTCAGCCTTCAGAGCTCAGATGTTCGGGTGTTGAAATGATTTTCCGCTGTCTTACTTTATATGGACCTTTTAAACTTTACTGATCCTTGAATGGGTCTTTTTCATAAGCATGTTGTATTATTGGCTGTTAGCTACATGCTGTTTTCCTTGTTTCTTACCGCAGGTAAATGGCTGGCGTGCCAGTCTATGGACAACCAGATTCTGATCTTTGGAGCCCAAAATCGCTTCAGACTGAACAAGAAGAAGGTCTTCAAAGGCCACATGGTGGCCGGCTACGCCTGCCAAGTGGACTTCTCCCCCGACATGAGGTAAGCCTGTACTCAGAAATCTTCTGATGAAAGGGATCAGTAGGCGGCGAAGATACTCAGAGCTGATTAATAGTTTAGAATAGATTCAATTTCAGCCAATGAAGAAAAAAAGAATTGACAGAATTGAAACCCAATGATGATTCGTGGGTTTCTTTGAGGTGTTTTGGAAGTCTTACTGAGTTTAGCAGTGAGATCGCACTCAGCAGATACCCACTGTAAAACGCCCCGGGTGCACTCAGAGCCCAGGGAATTCAGATGATCTAATGTTCTCGCCCCAACACATTTTCAGGTCTGACCACCTTTCAGTATCCATAGCAACACTACTCCTGGCTAGAATAAATACTATTTATTTAGACCTTATGCAGGGGTCCTTTTTCGTGCTGATCTCTGCTCCTTTCTTCCAGCTACGTGGTGTCTGGAGATGCCGATGGGAAGCTGAACATTTGGGATTGGAAGACCACCAAGCTGTACCACCGGATCAAGGCTCACGACAAGGTGTGCATCAGCGCACTGTGGCATCCGCACGAAACCTCGAAGGTCATCACCTGCGGTTGGGACGGACAGATCAAGCTCTGGGACTAGATATGTCCGGATGTGTGCGTGTGTGTCTGTTCTGGGAGGGGGAATAGAACTGAACTGGTTCACGATAGACAGACAAGACGGCACTGGTTGTCCCATGGATTTTGTGAAAAACAAAGTGAAAGCCACAGGACTGGTATCCAGTCCAATTGTTGCAGCGTATTTTTGTATCCTGCCGTGAGAGTAAAAGCGTTATTATCTGTACAAAGATGACCACACGCATGCATTTAAAAATAGTTTCTACTGCAAACGGCATATTAGCGTGGAACCGTGACATTTTTAAAAATATCTTTTTGTTATTTCAATGTATAATGTTCTATGTAGTGTACCTCTGTAATCCTCGGTAACCATTCTTAGTTTTCAATTGTGTGAACATCCAATTGTGGAAATAAACATTCTGTAAATTTGACCTCTTTAAAAAATGATGTATTAGTTAGTCTCTAAGACAGTGTATTCACGCCCGTAGTTCAACTCAAAATCGAATTTATTATCGGAGAAATCGTATTTATTTCGTTTTTTCTGTCAAACGGCATTGAAATATTTAGCCATTTCCATTTTAATTACATGCTCAGGTTGGAATTAGTCCCCTACATCTTCACAAAGTGACGGTCTGGTGCAACAGAGATAGTGGCGTGAGGCCAATTTGAACACAAAGAAAACTGGAGGAGGAAAAGAAACCGCAGTTCCACAAAAGGCTCTTTTCTGCAGATCTCAATGGTTTTTATAACAAAAAAAGAAATGACAATTGAAGTTCACATTTTCTTTTTGAATCCTATACACTCGCCCACACATTCTAAGATCCAACCAACACACTGAACAAATCCAGAGGTGACACTTTATTCCTGTTATTGTTGCTGCATATTATAAGCAGCTCCAATGCACCGGCCCCTAAATATCAATTTCCTGTGGTTCAGTTGATGAGTTGAGACTATTGAAGTCAAAGTCAATCTCAGAGAGGACCATGAAGATCGAGGTCCCTGTGATCCAAGGAGCTGACCTGCAGCCAACCACACTGCCACTACAGGACGTTGACTCCGCCCCTGCGGGCGGCTGAGGTCACCGCAGGCCAGGAGGCGTTGAGTAACGGCACGAATTAAAAGAAAAGGGTCGGGCCAGAGGAGGGAAGTCCGTTTTAAGAACAGCCGTGCTCTCGCAACGACGTGTGCTCTGATCCAGAAGCTGGGATGTGCGTTTTCTTTGGTTCTGTTCTGGCTTCCTTCAAGGCTTCCAGGCCGCGTTGACCCAGCTCAGGGTGTAGGCGCTGCTGGCGTTCAGGACGTTCTTATGCAGGAAGAGGTGAGGCGCGGCCGGGTCGCTGTTCACGTGGAAGAGGCGGAAGTTTGCGTGCTCCAGCTCCTTCAGCAGGCTGAACCAGTAGCGCACCACGGTTGGATCATCGCCTCCCACCTCAAAGCCCGCCCAGTGAAGGTGAATCTCCAACAACAGCTGACCCACCGAGTCCAGGACTCCTTCCAGGATCAGGTTCTCCAAAATCTTCCATTCTGCGCTCTCCATATCTGCCTTCAGCACATCCACCTAGAACAAAGGGGGAGGGGGAGAACACACTGGCTTTGGGTTTTTCCTGTTCCAGGTAATAAATGAGCGATTCATGAGACTGGAATGACAATAAACTCGGTGGGATTATTGAAAGCAGAAGCTGATAAAAAGGAGTAAGTGAAGCTTGGCCTTTGTTCCTGCTCCAGCGCTGTCGGTGATGGATTGAGTGGAGCAAAGAGCAAATTACAGCTTAATAAGGTGAATGTTAAAAGCACCCGTAGGGTTCATGTGAGGAGACTTGTTTAATACGCATTCCTTAAAGTCTTTTGCATTGCCAAAGATGTCCATTGTCCGACCTTTATGTCTGTAAAAGTCGTGTTGGAGACGAGGCTTTTATTCCTTCTAGGCCCAGTGTTTGAGTTGGCGTTTTCTCAGCTAGTATATCATGCAGCCACTAAATTAGTAGTGATAAGACCTGAGGCGAGGTTTAGATTACAAGAAGAAATAGGCCCGGGGGAATGTGGTGTCATGTCTTATTTCATTACAGATAACATGAGACACTAACCAAAGGAATTTCATGGTGCCATGTACTTTTTTTAATTGTGGGAAACGCTCACATATCTGAAACTAAACTGAAAAACATCATCAGTCGCCCTGTGACAGCGCGACCATGAAATTCCTTTAAAACCGATGTCTTTGGTGGCGCTGCAGAATTCCCAGCCCTCATTAGCGGAGCCCAGCGAAGGCCTGGAGATTCTCAACGAGCAGCAGAACAAGTCCACGTGTTGTCCTCCGTCCTCCCCGTGGGCCTACAAGCTCCAACGAGTCGAGATGTGCTGCTTAATTGGACAGGAACCTCTTGGAGGAAAAAAAAAAATACATGGCATCATCAAGAGGTGATGTATTAACCTCGTCTCTAAGGGGGTGGCTTTTTTTTTATTATGTGTCATGCTGCGTTTCTGTGTACGTGTCGTTATTATTTCCTTTTTCTCAGCCTCTGATCCAATCCAGTCAAAAGGCCGAGCAAGGCTCCTTAGCTTAGCATAAGGCAGGAACCATGGAAACGGCTGGCTTGGCTTCGTCCAAAACAAATCAATATCACCTTCTAGCATCTGGGTGGTTACATAACTCATTTATTTTATTTGCACAATTAACAAGCGTACCAATAGCAGTTGGTTTTATGAAATGTTACATGCAGCACTTGCAGCCTCCCAACAAGCAGACGATGGCTCCTCGCCAAGAAATGCATTTATTCTCAGACAATAAATAAATAAATACTTGAACAGTGGTTTCTCTCACCATGGCAACAAATGGACTTACATTTGGACGTGTTTTAACATACTGATCTGTTCATATTGTTAATTCTTGCTTGTGTATTTTTATCTTATTTTATTCTTATATTGCACCAATTCACCAAGTCAAATTCTAACGTTTGTGGCAATAAATGTCTGAAATGTGTTTATTTCATGGTGGGCAAATCCCAGCTAAACAACAAACAAAACCGTTATTTGATGTCTCCTTTTGTTCAACAATTGGTCTTGCCACACTAATTCAACTGTTACCTCTAAACCAGATAGATGAATATTACAGCTTATCTGACCTTTTTTGGTATTATGCGTTTTTTTAAGGTTTTCCTTAGTGAGCCGTGACATTTCATTTCACATCTGAGAGGTTTGTTGATTCTGTACTTTCTTTTAGAAGCTTTATCTACACTCACTGTGTATTCGATTTGTGCTTTTCATTTTGTTCTTACTTCCTGTGCAGCTGACCGTTAAACTTCAGATAAAGATAGTTCCTCCAATTTAATAAGTTGAAATTATGAGACCAAAAATGAAACACCTTGTTAAAGTACCTCTACGCATGGTTCATGAGCAGTTTCAGGAAATTAGTTTCATTTGAGATGAATCGTGAAAGCTGTGCAGATCCCCAAAGCTTTAACTCGCACCTCCAGCAGGGACTTTAATTAACGTTAATGTATGTGATGAAACGATTACCGTGACTGCTTTTTGTTGAAATAAAATAAAGATGGAAGCATGTTGTGCTTGTGTTCTACCTGTAATGTGGCAGCACGTCATTTCATTCATTCTGAAAGTACCGCTTTCTATAACCAATACCTTTGTATTTTGCACGTAGCAATGTGATCAGTTTCTTTCCATAACTGAGACGTGAGTTCCTGCGCCTGACATTTGTCACCGCGGTGACAGATTCTTTGTCTGTTCACTGGAGCTCAGGCAATGAATCATCCGTGTAGCATTTTTCGACCTTTCCAGCACGACGCTTCCTTCTTCGCCGCTGCTTTTCTTTCCTCTCACAGATGCTGGGCGAGAGCCTCTGAGAAGAAGCAGTTCGGCTCCTCCGGCACATTAGGGACTTAATGGCGTTAATGCCTCGTTACACGGATGTGTGCGCGGCTTTGCATTTAAAACAAGCGGATGTACTTTCACCCATGAAGCAGGATGCTGTCCAAAGCCACCCACACAAACGCATACACGCAGGTATTTCTTCATATCTTGTCACAGAATCTTAATAAAACCCTTTGCTTTTGGATCCAGAAAAAATATTATTAACTCGAGCTTTCAACTGGAGAATTATGACTTTTTTTAATGACAAAAACTGCTCATTAGAGCGTTTTTGTATGAAAGTAAATAGTTTTAACCTGGTCGTGTTGCTCAGCAAAAGGGCCAAACCAGCGAAGCCAGTAGGGCACAAACAACAGCACATAAAGGGAAACCTCATTTTTATAAACACTATAAACTATACACACACTTTCATGCCTTGGAAAATACTCTGCAAGATTCCATAACCTTACGATAAATACTATATGAATGTGTAATCTTTGATGATGCTCCAATGAAAAGGAATTTTGTATTTGATCTCAACAGAACCTCTCCTGGTTAGATGTAGATAAAAAGAAAATGATGTTTTCTTAGACAAAACATATGAGCCTTGAGTGACTTTCAGCGGTGTTTTCATGACCAATGCGCGGAAGTTTGGCTTCTTTGCGCGCGAATGATCCCTCATTCTTCACATGAACCGGCCTGTTGGCCGGATCTATAACTGTGTTCATCATTATGCCCGCTATCAGTGGGCTTGGTGTGTGTACATGATTGATCTCGTGTGCAATCACCCCATCTAATGAGGTGGGAAAAAATCCCAGGAGGGGTTTGAAGACGCAACATTCAGTACGATATTCGAAGGAGGAAAGCTAATTACATATCCGTGTTTATCCACTTGGAAAAATGAGTCATGATGGGCCGCGTTGAGTTGTGGGGTGCGCTGGAATGTAAAAACCTTTCACCTACACAGGTCGAAAAAAAACCATGGTTCCAGTTGTTTATTCTGGGCCCTCCCGCTCCGTGCCCCTCACCTCTCTGTGTCCGAAGTCGTTGAGGATCGTGGCCAGCTTCTTGGTGCTGGCGTACTGACGCTGAGCGACGACGGCCGGGTTCGGATCCCTCCAGTCCACGGAGAGCCGATGGAGCCACATTTCACCCTGCAGCAGGTGAGGCTGCTTCTGGCTGGGATCGAAGCAGTGGACCTCACATCCCGCCCGCGCCAGAGATCGCTCCAGGGATCGATCGTCCGCGCCCAGCCTGCAGCCCACACAAGACCAGCACTGTAAAGGGTTTTCTTGGCCCAATGTGCGACGTCATAATTCATTGATGGTTAAAAACCTCAGCACAAATAATAAATAATATCATTTTAAACTGCCACTGATTTAAGAAACAAGAAATAAATAACTTCGTTTTGATGTGTGAATCAATGTAGCCGGGATACTTTTCCCTGTACTTCTCCTCCCTAACGTTCCCTCTCCCTCTTTCCCACGCTTTTCTCTCCTCCCCCCCCCCCCCCCCCCCCCCCCTCCCCCTGTGCCTTCTCGAATTCTGCAATTTTCTTCACTTCTCCTTTCTTCAATCGCTGTCTCCGCGTTCCCTCGTGTCTAATTTCTACCACGGCTGTGTTGTGCGATTGCCGCAGAGGGAGTACACATTTGTCCCAAAGATGAGTCACTGGGTCTCCACACGAATCCCCACCAGCAGCGAGATTAGAGATGCGCACATACAGGGAGCGATTGAGATGCAACTAGACATCTGCACCAAATGTTTCATATACTTCCGTTAGAGTTTCCCCCTTGTCTCTGGTGGGGCGTTTTAGCCAGGAATCACTGCTGGGACACTTTACACAACTGCCAGAGGGGATTATTCATGGCGTAGTGGGGTTCACGCTGCATCAGAAGCCATCCTGTGTGACAGCACTGAAAAAGATGGGCGTCTACTAGCTGTAGTATCCTCTCTCATGACACTAACAGTGACTCTCCAATGGTTGAATAGAATGTCATGGCAACCAGATGTGAAGGGTGTGTGTGTGTGTGTGTGTGACAAACACCCAATGGATTGTGAACCTGACAAACAGAGCCCTCAGTCCGCCTGTCCTCTCACTAAACCATAATGTCAACAGTCTCCGGATGTTGTGCCCCCCCCCTCCCGGACGGTGGTTAGCAAGGGCCGGGTGGTCTGGGGAACAATCGGCTGGTGTCTTTCTCTTGCAGTTGGGTCATGTTATCTTTAGCGTGATGCTCTCCAAATAGTAATCATGGCAGGAGGTCCTTTCAAATGTAGCTATTCCTGCACTGTCTCATGTGTCATACACTTATTATTATTGGTTTTAATCACATGTGCTTTATTTCCCCTGTTTGGTTGCCACAGAGTCATGCTGAAATGAAAAAAAAAACATTTTGAGTGCAGGGTAAAAAGTTGCTGCGTATGTTTTACTGTAAATCTTGACACTGTTCAAGCTATTGACTTCTAAATGTCTAAATGTCTTTTTTGCATTTCCAGAATCCTCCATTGCCGCCACAGAAATAAATAGATTTTTAACACTGAAGATATAAAAACATCCTCCCTCACTGAATAAAGACTTGGAACTCTGACAAAAATAATTATTAATCACTCCAGCCAGAACTAATGACGATCATTATTTCCCCATTTTTCACAAGGGGGCAATTCATCCAATTCAAGAGTGTTCTGGGTTGTTATGTAACGGCAACGTATGATTCATCGTCTCCGACCATCTTTTATTAAAGTGAGCATCTGATCTTTCGCTTCAAAATAGGGAAAATAATGTGCGATCGAAAAAGAGGAGGAGGGAGAAGGAGGAGGAGGCTGAGGGAGTTGATGTAGAGTACGAGAGGTGAAAGGTGGACAGCAAAACCACACGAAATATGTGTGTACACGCATACACTGTATGTGTATGTACTCAGTCCTCCCAATGCACGCCCACAATTCTACTTGACATTTGCATAAAGCCAGTGATATGTGCGGCAGTGGCTTTGTGAGTCTCCTGTGCAGCAGTGCACAAGTCTCCTGAGTCCCGAGCTCAGGACACTCTGCACACCTGGCATGGATTAATGAGTGTCTGTGCGTGCGCGCGCGTGTGTGTGTGTGTGTGTGTGTGCATGTGCGGCACTATGAATCTAGGTCATATAAGCGACATGGCAAGGAGAAGATCGACTGATGTGCCAAGAAAAGTGAAACTTTTTAGAGCAGTTAAACTGATATTCCAACTGGGCTCCAAGGACTTCTGAAGTCTCTGTTTTCTATGGAATTTCATGTTTTAGGTCCACTGTGTGTGAATTGAATCCCTTTTGGAGGTCTTGAGGGATCAGTCTATTTATCTAAGAAGGAAAACTAGTGATGTGGCTCTTACGGACGAGAAGCCAGAGGATATAAGATTTTTTCTCCAAAGCCTCCATTTGACCCTTAACCTCCACCATAGAGAGGCATGTAGTCTTAAACAGCACCCCCCCCACCCGTATGCCTCGGGTGCCAGCACACCTGTGCCGTCTCTCAACGGTCAAATGAATAACCTCCCTATTTCCTGCAGAAAAACCTGGCAGCGCCTCAGCAAAGTGGAGGCCCGACTCGGCAAAGCCAACTCGGAGTGATTGACTCGCCAATCTTAACAAGGTCAAATACCTCGCTGGCCCGCGCTGACTCCATTTAAGATTACATGCTGCCCAAGGAAAGGAAGCAGAGGTGGAGTGCACGTGACGTTTGAGGCGGCAGTACAGAGGATTATCTTTCCTCCTGTGGTGTTTTTTACAAAAACGAAAAAAAGAAAGAAAGAGAAACCTAAGTGTTACGTGGCGAAAATAAGTGATATTTCCACTTTGTCAGGCAAGGACAGATGAAATTGGAAGTCATTAAAAGACAAGGCCAACAGGGAGACAGATATTTCTCTTCTAATGTGTGAAAAATAGCCCTTTTTTATTCAAGGAAAAGTGATTCAAAATAATTTCTCCTTTTGAATATACTCATAGTTGACACGGCCACTCGATATATATCACAGGCTGTCACAGCACCAGATGCTCTGCAGACAACTGAACGACGGTAACAATCCCACCGCTCTACAGACGCATGACGGCTCGTCTCGAAGCTTACGTACACAACGTTCAAAATTTGACATTTGCTGGCGAAACGTTCCCGGGTTCATGTCGGCGTGCGTGTTGTGCGTGTTTGTCCGTACGCACCCAAAAGAGTACACCCTGCAGTGTTTGCTGTGTATTCTGCGGGTCAGGCTGTACTTGGGGTCCAGACATGCAGCCCAGGCTCCCTTGGTCCCCTCCGGAGCCGCTTCCTCACCGGCAAACGACGCGCACGACACCTGAACGCACAAGTGAAAATGTTGTAACAGACAATTTCGATATGGGCGACTGGACCGTCTCTTCAACGTTGTTATGTCGTTCCCTGACTCAGACTGTGAGTACTGTGACTCGACACGAGTGCTATAAATCACTGGAGGCGGCTACTGAATGTGACCCTGGGTCTGGGCGTGTGTCCGGCCTCAGTGGTATTCATCATGGCGCACAGCCTCAGCACCAGCGTCGAGTCCGTGTTTGTATGGGCCCCTTGCACAAACATTTATATACACACAGGCAAAATGTGCACACATGTCCGCGTGTTGATTGTGTGTCTGTGTACAGCTTTACAAGTCGAATGTTTGATGTTTCATTTCCTTGAGCTCTGTCTCTGGCCGAGTCAGTTTGCAGACATAAAATGTAAATCTACGGTTCTTCCTGCACACCGTTCTCATTCAGGAACGATGAGAGTGCTTTCCAGATGAATTCTGTTGCCAGGGAACAATTAGCACTGCATGCCGGCCTCTTACAAACCCACATCTGTTGTTAGCTTAAAAACTGACATACGGATCTTATTTTTGTGCATGTTTAGATTCCCTTGTGAAGTGAGTTCGACTTTTTTTTTCTCAGCTTCAAAAGAACCTCTTAGGCATCGTCTGTACCGTGCTCTGGCTAACCGAGGTAGTCCAGATGTTCCTAGGAGAAAGCCATGTGTTTGGGCTCCTCGTGGGAGGTCTCCTGTCATTCGGACGACCCTGGAAAACCTCCAGAGGAAGCGGCGTCCGTATCCGAAGGGCTCCTCGCAATTGAAAGCAGAGCCAACGCTGCTCCAACTCCCGCTTTTAGACGTCCGCTCCTCATCCTCCTCTAAGGAGGAGCCCTTACGTCCTCACTCCTGATTGGCCATTGTGTCGCAGGCCGTCTCTCAGAGTAACAGCTCCACCAGGCACCCAGTCAGCCAGCATTACAGCTGAGGATGCTGCTACGCCCCCTCCACCCACCCCCCCACCCCCCCAACTCCACCCTTTCCTGTCAGTGTGTATGACGGACAGCTTGCTTCAACGGCGTCAAACAATCCTTTTGTCTCGTCCTCTCACACACACACACACACACACACACACACACACACACACACGCACACACACACACACACACACACACACACACACACCCCAGGGCTAATTCATTATGAGCTGAATGTCTGCTGTGGAAGATAGAGAACGCTTCCTTAGTCATTTGGAGCGCGGTACTCCGTGTTCTCGTTATATTATGAGAGGGAGAAAGATAAGTTGACTTATTCATCCCCTCTTTACAATAACAACACACGGCACCACATGTGAGCCACAAAACGTCCTTCTGTGTTTTGTAAAGCGAAAGCTGCGCCGTTTGCTTTACCTTCACGACAGAGACAAGGGCACCAAATCGCAGGCTTTTACTCAAATGATGATGCTGAACATCTTAATCGATTTGTAGTAATGTAATACTGGCGTAAGCTAACTAACAAACCACAACACCTCATTGATTAGACGGGCTCAGAGTTTCATCTGTATGGTAATCAATGGAGTAATGAATTATGGGTGTGTGCCGTCGAGCGAGGCGACTGAGCTGAATGTGTAAGAGGCGTCTAGACAGGCGCCCTTTGACATAACAAAAGCCCCTCAAATAATCTGAATATCTTTCTTTAAATTACAGCGTTACATTATTATTTGGTCCTTAAGTTAAAGCAGTGAACGCTTTAAGATGTCAGAGTACAGCCAAATAAAAAAAATATAGAAAAGCAAAAATGACACCACATTTACAGCGGCGCAAATAAAAAACACAACAGCAGGGACGAAAAACACTTTTTTTTTAACCCTGTAAAGACAGATTGTGTTGAAACCAGCCAAAAAAAAACGTTTTCTGTTTCACACTCATAACGCTGTTTCGTCTTAATAATCTGCCGTGAAAATCTTCCACATCAAATTGCACTTTCCTTATTTGATGTACTTTATTTGGGCATTCAGCAGTAGTAAGAAATACACTTATTTCCCCGTCAACCTGAGCCTTTAACCAGAATGTAAGCAATGATGACTCACTTGACGTGTTGTGATGTAGTTGAGGAACCTTTTGGCTTCTTCCTCCAGAGAATGGCTCTCAGCGGCCCAGGGCTCCAGGTCGATGTGCCACCGAGGAGTCTGCAGCGGAGCGCACACACACACACACACACACACACACACACACACACACACACACACACACACACACACACACACACACGTTATTAACAAACCAAAAAAAGAAGGAAATGAATAAAAATCAAAGTAGGCCACTCAAGGAAATCCAGTGCACGGATAACAACAAACAGAGCGTTATTTGTACACTGATGGAACTGGGTCACAATGTGCTCACTTGAGTGTGTTAGTGTCAAGTTGATTTTTATTGTTGTTTCAGGTGAAAATGGCGGCCCCATTTATTCTCACGCGTTCTGCGCTGCAAGGTACGCGGGGAAGGAAAGTGTTTCGTGGTGGAAAAATGAGACTCACTGCTTCACACTGCAGCTCAGCGCTGCTGTGCGATCGCATTCCTGAAACACGGCGGCGCTCTGCTTCCCTTCTACAGGAATGTGTCTGTTTATGATTAAAGTGGAGTCAGTGAGATGGAGAGAGAACAAAAAAAAAAGAGGCCCCCGAGAAGCCAGCGTCATCTTGCCTGCTTCGTGGCTTTCTATCTGCCCTTACAGGGGTGTAACAGAGTGGTTTCTGGTTGCACAATAAGTTCTTGGGACAAACACACGGCCAGATTTCATCAGCAGCTCATGTACAAGCTCTCCTCAGGATACAGTGCGGCCCTGCTTGGGATGCTCCTGCCGTCGTCTGTGCTTTTTGGGCACTGCAGTTTCAGATATTTCCGTGGTTTTGAACAGATCATTTTTTGGGCTTAGCAAAACAGATGACGTTTGTATTTGTTGGATGCTGTGTGCACATGTGGTGAGCAATCTGTGTATAGATCGCTACGGGGACAACAGGTCTGTTTGGGAAAATAATCTTTCGCACCCATATTTCCATGGCCTATTTCTCTCTCCTCCTCCTCACAGTCATGCCCGTTAGTTTAGCTTTGTGTTTGCTCAGCCGCTTTGCTTTTCAGTCACACTGTTCATTTCAACAGAAGTAGCTTTGTGTGATTCTATATTTGAAGTACACAGCTAATCGCTCTCACAGTTCATTTATGTCGCTTGCCTTATAATGAAGCACATTCTCACGTACTGTAAATATGATAAAACATGTTGACAAAACATCTGAATGTACTTCAACATAAACACGTCATGAATCTGCAGCGCATGCGCGGAATATCTACTAATTCATTTTCAATGAGGGGGCTTTGTTTTCCTAATTTAAACTTGAACTACCCAACTCTTGTGAACTCTCAGAAACTCATTCATCCAGCATGACAGAATATGGACATGCACCCTCGCAGCAAATCGGCTTATGCATTTTCTAAAAGAGCATCATCTGTGTCGACAGAATCGTCTGTCCCTTTAATGCCTGCAGTGTTGGATCCACGGGAACAGTATTTACTGCTTGGCATTGAGCCTTCAATCGATTTGTGGCGTGTCAAAACATCTGAAAGCTTGTTTGGGCTTTAATCGAGGCATTCCTGATTTCCCATTCGGTCTTTTCTACTCTTGCTGGCACACGCTGCTTCTCATTCCTTCTGCTCTCTGTGTGAAATTCAACAGTTTTCTGTGGTTGGATTTTCCTCATTTGAGGGTTGCAGAAACAGGCCGCAGACTTTGACCCTCTGCCACACAGCAGAGATCTCAAACGTAAAGTCGAGTAAGTAGCATGTCTAGACAATTCCTCCACACTTTAGAGTGTTGCTCACATGCACCCACATCCTCATTGAAAATCATGGCAGAGAAGGAATGTAAATATTGGCACATTTTGCAACCGAATCCAAGGTTTCTAGTTCAAAGTTGTGAGTTGAAAGCAGCGCTAACGAAAACTTTCTTTTTCGCTCAATGCGCTTAATTAAACTGAGGTCCAATATAGATATTTTGTGTGTGTCTTCGTGCGAATATAACGTTTCTATAAGCCCCTACAAACTGCCGAATCATCACTGCTAAGTGATGAGATTAGCGCAAAAGCCCCCCGCGTTCAGTCAAGCAACAAGTCATCAGCGCCTCAGGCACTGCAAAGGTAAGCAGGGTTAATAACAAACACAGAGAACATCACTCACAAGGGCCGGGCCTCTGCTGTCAAGCCCATAATCCCGTGACATTAAATATAACAACCTCCGCAGCAGAAGCATTTCAGGTAATTGCCTTGACATGAATGGATGGATTGACAATGAAAATGATTAGAGAAGGCGTTCTGAAGGAAAGGCGTTCGCGCCTGCACCTGAAAGTGTGCAAGTTGATGTGTAAGTTTGAGAGAAGAGCAAAGTTTAAGTACCGGAAGCAGCTGAAAGTAAAACACGTATGAATTTGTATGAAGTCGAAGTAGTTTTTTTTTTCTTTCTGAAAAACTTGACCCCCCCGTTTTATGCCAGGCCAAGCGTGAATGACCCCCCCGGCCCCACTGGGCAGAAGAGGGTGGATGACTGAAACAAGAGAGGACGGTCTGCAGAACAAGGAGGGAGGGTGAGAAGAGGGGAAGTAGAAGGGGAGGGAAATTAGCCTCCTTGTGAAGGAAGAAGTGGAGTTCTATGGATTTACACCAAGAATAAAAAACGAATTGTCAATTGTCACGGAGGAGGAGTGAAGCACAGGTGAGCTGCTTCTTGTTGCAGTTCTGCAGGCCGGCTGCCACGGCGTCGGACCTGCTGCTCTTTTAGTTGTTGTTTTTTTTGCCATTAGTGCAAATGATCCCGGGACAAACCACCGGGCCGTGAAGTCAAGAGGTCAGAGCTTTTCGGTTCGGCGGTGAGGGAAATGTTGTTTTAACACCGTGGATCGTCTCGAGGACGAGCTGATGCTCTTTGACGAGCTGATGCTCTTTGACGAGCTGATGCTCTTTGACGAGCTGATGCTCTTTGACAGGCTGCATTTTTCCCGACAGCTCGGGTAAAAACTGAACAGTGTACGTCTGTGCCAGATGAAGGTCAGGACGAGCCGGACAAGCGGGCAGGCGGGGAAGTTGTGGTTTAATAAAAAACGGCAGGCGGCTGATTGACATTAGCCTCCCTCTGGTTTAACGGAGTGGGTGAGACCTCATCAGACGTGTGCTCCATGGGGATCACGCTAATCCATTTCAAGGAGAAAGTGTTTTTTCTTTCGCTGTGACACTCACTTTGCTTTAATGTAAGATTCAACACAAAGTGAAGAGTTGCATTGCTTTTAAAACAAAACGCCATCATATTAAAAAGCACAATACGATGCGATTTCCCAGTATTTGTCCATAAGGAAATTAATTCTACTCATTACTCAAATAATTATATTGATACTTCATTCATTACATTTCTCTTCTCTATTACATAATGTTATTTTTTGGGGGGGTTGTGTGTAGTTGATCATTTATATTGACATGAGATCACACACATTTCATCAACCAGAAATCATTCTTATATTTCTATGTATTTATAGATTTTAAGGTTTTAGATGTGCTCATTTTGGGATTATCGTAGCGTTCAGAGGGCAGCTGAGATGTTTATTGTGAGTTAATCAAGTGAGAATTGATAACAACACAAGACAGATACAAAGTTTACAAAGCAAAAGAGATCTCCCAGGTTTGATTTAGTGGCCACGTGCAACGTGTCAATCCCCATCATCCACCTGCTGGTATTTAGAACTCAGGTCTCAGGGAAGCATATTATCAGGTGTTCATCAAACATTGAGAATCGTTATAACAGGAGCGTGATAGAAAACGTATATTAAAAGGCTTGATACTGACAGCATGACTGTGTGACGGTAAACAGGAGAATCACAAAGAATCAGCCACACTGAGCTCTCTCATTCTGACTAATCTGGTAGACTGGCAGTCGGATCAGACCCATCTGTCTGGGTTTCGTGCCGCGTCACCGTTATTCCTCCGGCAGGTCCGGCTTGCCGGCCGATCGGGGAGGCTGCAGCGGAATTAAAGCGGAGGATTACGCTGATCTTTTTTAATGAAGGCATTGATCTCAGACTAGTTTAGTCTCAGCTTCAAAGGCACCTGACAAACCCACGTCTGGCATGAATCAACCAGAAAGAGAGAGAGAGAGAAAACTACAACATTCCAAGTTGATTGTAAAGTTGAATTAACCTCTGACTATTATTTCAAATTGAGGCGTTGCATTAATGCGTGCACACACACACACACACACACACACACACACTCTCATTCCTCATGCTGAACTAAACTCTGCAGCAGCACTATCTGCCCACGGTTGTGAATCGTATCTGATGGAAGGCCTGCAGAGGCCCATTGTCACTCAGCACTTTTCAGGCCACCGCCTACCTGACACCATCTTGCATTCTTCCTATTGCAGGTGCGTCTTTACCGAAATCTTCAATAGATTTTGCTGAACAAAGAAAAGGCATATCAGTGCCTTAACCTCCTGATCTATGAGTTACACAAAACAGAAGTTCATCAATAGTGGTTGCACAAAAGGAAAGAGTACGAACATTTTAAACCCTGTTTTAAAAAAAAAACGATTTCCATCCACACTAACATGTCCGAAAAACAATAATCACGTGACTGGACACGAGGCTCGTCTATCGCTCAGTAGCAGAATAAAAAAATGCAGATTGGCGACAGCTGCCTGTACAGAGAACAAGGTCAGCAGCGCCGGCCGTCTGTTATCCATTAGAATTATTCACTGGGAGTCAACCGGCATCAGTTGTGAAAGCTGTGGATCCGGCAAATCCATACGATCGACGGTTGCCCTGGCAACACTGTCCTGTCACAACACTGTTAACGTTCACATCAAGGCAATCTCACTCATACGTGCATTCTCAAAGGCCTATTCATGATGCTCTATTACAACCCAGATTGAAATGGTTGCACGTATGCAACTGGGAGCAAAGGTCATCGACGCACAGCTTCATCTCAACAGACGGATGGGGGCTCATTGTTAGCAGCTTTGTGGTTAAAACCTGCATGCGTGTGTGAGTCACATACACGTGCGCACGTCCTCCTGGAAGGTGTCCCAGACATGCAATCTGTGTTTGATATCTATTTGAGCGGAGCAGAAAGAGCCCGCTGAGCACCATACGACA